TATGCAACTATGCTTTCAATATAGTTGTTTTGCTTATAGGCGATAAATAAAGAGATCCCTACTTTAAAAAGGATGTAAAATCCTAGATTATGTATAATCTTTAAGGTTGGAAGCAAGATCCCCCAAAATATTGGGATGGAGATCCCAAAAGGTTTGGATCGAGCCCCCCAAAAATATGGGATCGAGATCCCTAACATTTGTGAATCTCGATCCCCAACATATGCATTGTTAGACGATGCTCATAACCATAAGGATCTTCTGGCCTTTCATGACTCCCCATTCCTGCTCCCGATCACGCTTGCTCCTGATCCCAACAACTATGCACAAGCTACTCCCCGAACAACATTCACAAGGGCTACCAAGGAAGGGTTAGCCATGGATAGATCCCAAGCCCGCACTCTATCTCTCGCTCCCATAATTGCGAGAGACAAGCTTCTTTATGGCTTTATAAGTGGGAAATTTTCTCGACCCTATGAGGGCCTAAAAGAGAGAGAGAGACTTCACTGGGTGCTTTCAATTGGCGTCTGTGCTTAAAAGACATGCACACCTGCATGCCTTGCCAACCAGCTAAATCAAGCAAAGACGTGGCTATGGCCATGGCCAAGGCTTAAGTTGAGGTTGACAATTGAGCCAAAGCCTATCTTTCGGCCAACCGAACCTTTTCATCAACTTTTGATCGCGGTTAATAACGAAATTAGATAACTCTTCACTGATGAGTTTGTATGAGCTATCCAAAGACTTATCTAAAGTATCCCAACTTTTGGCCACAGTTAAACTACAGCTTTTTCACCGTGGTCAGCTGAGAATAACGACTTAAACTATCCTTGCAATCCAAGAGAATAGCCACATGTCCTACACATGTCACTATCACATGATTGCCATGTATCCTCCACCGTTTCAACAGTTAAATAGCTTTTCACTACAGTTATCCAAAATCTCTTTATAAATACCTATTTGCAATCGATTTTTCAAAATTTATACATGTTTACGTTTTTGGCATGGTTAACTAACAGTAGCAATTTTACACCACAATTATTCAGAAAAGCTTATTATCTTGAGATTTATTTAAATCAATTCCTTCAAACTTGGACCAAATTGGAGCGGCCCAAACCAGGTCAGTTCCAAGGGAAATCAACACAATAAACTGTGTTTTCAAAAAATGTTTCTTCATCATGCAACTCATAGAAGTCTACACAGTGCTTCACAGGGCATGGTTGTGCCCTGCAGGTATTCTTGTGACAATCTGATTAGATCTTGGATTTTCAAAGTCCAGGAAATTAAATACCTCAAAGACAATGAGAGCATCTTATGCCTTAAGGTCCAAAAAAAAAGGTTTGTTTGAGTCTTAGAAAAGTTTACATTTTCCTCTTTCGAACACAGTCATACTCCAAAAAGTGGAGGTCTAAGTTCCATTTAAAAACCTAGAGTTGCGAATATCATTTGACAAATATGTAATCAAACGCTAACCTCTGTTTCCAACTCTAAAGTTTTTGACCTCATAACAGTTCTAACCTTGATTAATGCAGTTTAGACATGAATGATGATTTTAGAACTAGGTCATTCATTTTGACAGGAGGCATTTTCATTACAGTTAGGTATTTTGACCATGCAACGCAAGTTTTCACCATGGTTATACAGTACCGACCATGGCAAAAATATACCTGAACTAACAGGGTAATTCTTTGGATTGTGAGGATGGAAAAGCCAAGAAATTTATTATACAATTGGTGGTTACAAGATACAATAATTTATTACATATAAAGCATGCAAACCAGGCTCTAGGAGAAATAAAATAACAAAGGTAATGGAAAGCCACAACTAAGCAACGGCATATGCTTAAAAGACTCAAAATTAAAACTAGGCGCAATATCATTCCACCTAAAAATGAGGCCTGAGTCGCTAAGATAGATGAGTAAAAGGCGTATGTTCAACAAGATGCTGTGAAGGAATAAACTTTCTGAATATGTACATCCTAGATTCCTTAATTCTCTGTTTATTCTATAATAATAAATAATTAGATTACATGGTTCGTCCCTTGGATATAAAAAAATAAGTCTTCAAAAAAATTCCAAGGTCCTCTTCATAAAGAGAAGCATTACACCTATAAAAGGATTTTCAAGGAAATGGTTATATGAATGGTTCTCGTTTTGATGTGTTTTGCTAATATGCAGCAAGTTCAATTCTTCATGAGCATGGATATTTAAAGCAAAGTTTTGAATGTACATAGTATAGCCTTTTCTTCTATTTAACCAAGTCTATCCAACTTGGTACCCCATCCTCACAATAGAGCCCTGCCAAGGTGGAAGTGATTGGTGAATCATGTAACCTAGTGGTTTGGAGCTCTTTCTCTCAGGTCCTTCATTGAGTCGCTCAATTTCAATGTGCCATTTATTAAGAAAAAGAAAAGAGGGAAACGGGGAAATTTTAAAAAATGCAGGAAAGACCTGCATAAATCATGTGCTCCAAGAAAGTAAAATATGAAAGCAGTAGATGGACAGGTCATTTTGTCTGAATGACAATTTCATCCCAGGTCTGGTACTCAAAATACCAAACAAATAATGGTATGTTAGAAATTAGCTGAGGAGTCGCATGCTCTTTCAAAAAGAAAAAGTGACCTGCACAGGCACTGCTCTAAGGTCGGAATTCCCAGAGCAACTGCAATATAACTGCACGTGTTCCAAATTTCGGGCCACTGATTTAATCTTCCTCGAAAAAAATCAGTTTAACTAGGATTGAGCATAAGTAGAAGAAACCAACATACCTTATCTGATATCATGTTAAGAGAAGACAGAAACTCTCCATTGCCAGATGACTGTGCCAGAGCTGATGATGGGTCACCCAACACCTTGTTCCGTGTAACGCCTCTTTCATCGCCATTAGCAACCAAATTATCAACGGTGCTCAATGTTGCATCTTTTCCAGCTTCAATGGAGCAGCTTTCCAACACACTACCCTCTAAATTACAGGCTTTGTCCCGTTCCTCAAGTGCAATTCTCTTCAAAACTGACATAACATTTTCACAAGTCCCTAGATCACCAGTTTGCTCAATACAAGATTCAATTACCGACCCATTCCCAGTACTGCTTTCCCTCTCAAAGCCAGATTTATAATTCTCTCCAATCGTACTGGTTCCCTTCAAATTACAAGATAAAAGTCCAGTTTCACAAGAACTTCCACCATTATGCTCGGTAACCAATGCTACTCCACAATTTTCATCACTATCCACATCACTTTTTTCGCTAATCTTCTTGAGATTGTCAGTAGTAGCCATCTTGAGATCATCACATGGCTCATCACTAGATTTACTCAACAAAGCTCCAAGATTATCTTCCGATGGCATTCTGTCTGAATTCCCATCACCTTCTATGCTCTCGCTACTGTTTTCTTGTTTACCATCTGAAATTTGTGGCTTGCCAACATCCAATGATGATGCCGCAATTGGCTTATCAATCATGGCCTGGTCTTGAGAGGCTTCGAGGCTCTTAAAATAATTTCTCACATGAACCCCAACATGGCCATTGTAACGATGCTTCTCTCCGAAAACCTTGTGGCATATTTGGCACACATACTTGCCATCTTCTATCAATACGCCTTCACCAAGGGATTTACCAAGTCGACATCTCTTTGATTTTCTCTGGTGAACAGCGAGCAGGTGATGCATATACACTTCCTTGCTGTTAAAATTCAGATTGCATTTGCGACACTCGAGAGTAAGCTTAATCGGGTTATCCACTTGATGTGAAATAATTTGCTTTCCACTGTCTTTTGAGATAGAACCATTGCATTTGGGTTCCTTTGTTTGTGGAGCTGGGACTTTCATTGAGCTGTGAGTGGCACCTGAAATCTGCTGCACATGATTGGACAGTAAGAAAGGAACGTTTAGGAATGGAAAGTAGACTGTAATCCAACGCACAATAGAGAAACCACAGTCAATTGGATCAATTGAAATGATGAATGGTGACGGAAGGGGAGAGGAATCCACCATTGGAATCATGCCGTATTCTGGCGGATACCGCTAATTTGCCATCACCATCCATCATTTCAACGGTAATAAATCCATGGATTATACTTGTTCTATACTGCAAGGGATTAAAGAAATCTTCCCTTTGAGAAATTTAGCCAAATATTCACACTTGGTCCTTTCCTTTTCTTTTGCTTTTTTTTAGTGGGGTGTGTTGGGAGATGAAGCTTACTCTTGTGCGCATGCTATTGCCACTCATATTTTCCTCTATACGAGCAGAAACTGCCAGACTCCCATCTTGGGGCTCGGAAAGCAAATGAGCCGTAACTTCCTTGCAAGTTGCAAACTTCTGGCCAGTAGGGCTTCAATGCACAATATTAGGAAACAAAGTATTAGGGTTTGCACATAGCACCACACTAAGAAGATATTAGACAATTGAAGGCACAAAGCAGCACAAACACATAATCAGAACAATTTATTTCAAATAAATTATGTTATTCTTAAATATAAAAATTTCACTCCAAATAGTGTGAGTAAATAGAGCAAGGTCAAGAGGATTGTATCGACTGCTACACGCAGATTAAAATTTGGATAAGGGATTAGCATCCAGTCAAGTTCTCCCCCACCCCTCCCAAAAAAAAAAACAAAAAGAATTCTCTAAAGAACCATTCTCTAGCTACAGCATCAACAGCCCTACTAGCACCCCTTGTGAGAGTCTTCCCTCTACCTTAATTGCATCATGAATGATGCCGCTCTCACATATCCATTGGGGTAAGCCTTTGAGGCTCCATCCAATTAAGATCATCTCCTCCATGTTGAGCAAGTATTTCAAAAGTGGTGCCAAGCTAATACTGATGTTCCTATTGGCAGTTTAGACTACCAAAGTCTTAGCCTGATGGCTTTGGAAGATGTTTCTTTTAACCATGTGCTACTTTAAAATTAATGGAAAGAGAAAAAATAATCATCTTAAGGTGCATCTCTATAAGGAATGATTCTTGAGCTTTAGGGTTTAGGGTTTAGGACAATGCATTGGTCACATGGGCTTTGTGATTTGGAAAATTTCCAATAAAAGACAATGGAAAAAGAAATAGAAAACAAAAAAGACATAGGATAGAGGAGAGTACATTGGAAATTAGGAAACTCCACCCACACCCCTATTTTCTGGGGACTCAAAATCCAATAGAAAGGGGCAAGAGAGACAGAGAGGGAAGGGGGCTGTGTATGTGCCGGAGGTGGGGTGCTAAACTGATGCCTTTTCTATAGTTGGTCAGAATTCCCTCCAAGGGAAAGAATTGTAAAACGGCTTTCTAGAAAAGTGCAAAGCAGCAAGGGAGAAAAACACAGATTAGGCTGCAATATTTAAAAAAAAAGAGGGAAGAAATCAGGGAAGAAGCAAAAAAAACAAAATCAGTGAAGGATCTCTAATTCCATAATTATTCTCAAAGAAATTTTGGGAAAGAGGATTTCTTGACTCAAGAAACCAGCACCTAGGCAGGCAATTGGTTTCAAAATCTCCCATTTGTAACAAAAATTGATCCGAATGGTCTAATCATAAATGGACACTAAATCATTTATGTATCATGTCTTTTCGTATGCACAAGGCTTATTGAATACAAAAGGCAAAACCAACTGCAAGAAAAAGTAAAGGCATGAATTCCTTTTATCGTGATAAAATTCCAGAAAGGAAATATCCAAGGGCACATTTTTCACAAAATGACACCATGAGATTAATGAAGGGATCACAAAAGGCAAATTCCAAACCACTCACCCACCTAGATATTAGTTTCTTTAGTCAATAAAGACTCCTCAATTTCCCTCTCTTTCCCTACATTTCTCTAAAAACAAAAATGGGATTGGAACTTGTTCGCTAATTTCTTCTCTTCTTTCTCTTTTCTCTTATTCTAGAAAGAGAAAAGTAGGATTGGCTATCATTGTCTTCTACTTTTCTCCTCCTCCTTTCCCGGAGAAAAGTCTGCCCAAATATAGAAAAGATGCAGGCTTTCTTCTAAGACCTGATAATTGAAACCTCCATAACAAGGGCATGCGTTGAGTTTCCTAAGTTCCCACAAACTCACCCTATACCTCAATTTTTTTCTTATCTATGTTTTTTTCTTTTTTCTTTTTTTTTTTTGACCAGATTCGTATCCGGCTCAGGCCTCTTCCATAAGGAGGCTTTCGGTCCCTCAAAATCTTTTTGTACCAAGTGGGAAAATCCATGCTTCCACTCTTATAGGGTACCAGTCAGCTTAATTATGGAACTATCATTTCCAGTATACACACAAAATTTCTGGCAGCAAGTACTAGCGAACCTTGTCTTCAACCTGAAACCAATGCTTTGCGTGATGACTAGGATGGCACCCTTTGTTACATCGTACATCCCTTTCACATGCTTCTGAACCATTGGTGGGTGAGTTGATCAGCGGCTTGCCTCATAGTAGCCAAGAAAAATCCCATCCCCACCATTTGGTCTTCAGTAGATGGCCCCATCACCTCAACACTTGAACATTGGTTGTATCTTTCTTTGCCACGGCCACAGTAAGAGAATCTGATGGTGATGGAATAGGACATATTGACTCTTAAACTGCAAGCATTGTGGTCTTTGACAGCAATATGAGCTGCTTAACAATCTTACAATGCTTCAGCTGTTGAGTAAGTACCAAGACAATCTTTCTTTGGTCTTAAGAACAGCCTGTTTAACAACCTCTACCACCTCCCTTTGGTGTTTGAAAAGAAAAAAGAGAAAAATACTTGCACGTTGATTTTCAGCTCAAATGGAAGTTCAATTAACCATCAAATTTAAAAATATTGTAACATCTTTAACTAAACTCCAAATATTTTCTTTCAATGAGAAGTATAAACCGTGTTTAGCAAGTCTGCAATTAAAAAAATTTCAAAAGAAAAAAACCCTGATTTAAAACTGATACAAAGTCATGGGCATAAAACTATTGTTTAGTTACTTTCTTGTATCCTAACAATATAATCATTGCATCCTCCCTTTGCAAATGGCAACTTAATTTCATGACGTATATACAAATCTCATTTCTATGCTCTGACTTTATGAATAAAATCAGAAAGAGTCCGTACTTTTTTTTTAACTTAATTTTTTGGCAATCCCCATTTTTGCACAGATCTTTTTGGCTCTTATTTTTTGACCCAAAACTGATTTAATACTGATGTTATTGTTTAGTGATACATTTTTATTTCCCCAACTTGGTAACAATGTTCAAAAAAGTGCAGGTGGGCGCCTAGGCATTTTGGGGGCCTAGACCCCCGCCCGGGAAAGGGGGTCCTCACCAAAAACAACACCCACCCCGTGCCCCCGCCACCCCCCTACTCCAAACAAAAAAGACAAAGGAATTCAAGGCAATTTTAGAGCCCCAAATGCCTCCTGAAATAGAAGAAGCATAATATTACAATCACATAACAGATTTACAGATATAAAGACTCAACGAGATTGTAAGACATTAAAATGCTTGAAATCCCAAATGTCATTGTAGAAAACCTCGTCTTTGTTAATGCTTTAAAAATATCAAGATCATATCGACGTTGGCACATACCTGATTTATTGGGCCGCCAAAAGTCCTCAAAATCGGACTGGAACCTCCAAAAACACCCACGAACTATTGCCTTTGTTTTGAAATTGAAAAAATCAAAATTTTATCAATCTTTCAATAAATCACATATTCAAGGTTTTTAGAGAGTTTTAATATCTATAAGAGCAGCGAATTAGGTTGTGGGGGTATTAGAATACCCCCAAACCCCTTTTCCCCCCTTTTTTGGGGGGGACATTACTAATTTTGACCTAGCCGAGGGCATTTTTCAACCCTCAACAACATGCATCGAGGCGGCGCCTAGGCAACCACCTTGACTGTACTGCATAGGCGGCGCCTTGCCCACCTAGGCAGGCGCCTAGATGCAAGCCACCTAAGTGCCCCTCCTAAGTTCTACCTAGGCGATTTAGCAATTTGGGCTGTCGAATTTTTTAACATTGCTTGGGAATTATGGTATAAATCAGGCTAGCGTTGACATCGATTGGCAACCCTTGAGATAAACAACCTTCAATCCACGTATTAAACCCCCTTCTAGGTGATGTCTTCTACAAGGCTTGCATAGACTATGATCATCACGATCAGGTAATAATTTAGGGTCCAATTAAGTTTATCCCATTTGAATCACTTAGTCTATCAAATAATTTCTAGGGATGAAGTTCAAGATCTTTGACAGTGGCCGAGGGGGGTTCAAGGTTCCATACAATTTCTAGACACTCAACTCATCAGCCCTAGCTTTCTCAAGCATGGAAAGCATTCTAAGGGTGTAAATAAGGTGGTCTTTATCAGACCTTCTCTAATTCAACAAGGGCATGTGATTTGATCAATGTTGAAGCTCCTCTTACAGTCTTCACTATCCCCAAGTCATAATTGTGATCGTTACATAAAATAATGAAAGCTTTACTATTGATACAATAGAAAACAACAAATCAATATGTGACTATTCTACAAAGATTGCACATACATTCTCCATCCCTTTTTGTCGTGGCACCCCTTTCTCTTCCTCCTTACTTCTAATTGTCTCAAACCATGTGAGTCCTTCTTGCGTTTGTTTTTTTGTTTCTTTTTTTTTTAATCCGTTACTGAATTGGTCACCCTATATCTACTCCTTCAAGTTGACCCGTCCCAAGCTCATTCTCAAATCCATTACCACCCATATGCCATAAGCCTAAGTTAGCCATATTCATGTCTCATTACTTAAAATTCATTTTGCAGGACTTTGCAAATCTTCTGCAACTTCAACCCTCATAATCAATGTTAGCAGTGGACATGCTCAAGTCAGTCAAACTCATCAACTTGATGAGCCCAAAAACCTCTTGATGCAAGGAAGATGGAGGGAAAAAATAATTAAAATAAAAATAACAATAAATGGTGAGAGATTACACCCTCTCAAGGTTTGAGAAGGAATCCACCCCAAAAGATCTTTCACAAAATCAACTCTTTACTTAATCACCAATTCGCTTCCCTCTTTACAATGAGAGACTTCTTCCCTTTAAATACACTTAGAAAATAAATAAATAAATAATAGAAACCCACAAAAATAATTTCTCTCTCAAACTCACGTCTCCCTTATCAAACCATCTCAAGTAAGCCTTATCCTAACTAAACCTTATTAACATTTATCTCTTTAAAACGAACTTAATCATTTGCCTAATATTAAAATTAACCACATCCCCAAAAAAACTCACGCACTTCCCTATCCCCAAAACAACTCGCGCACTAACCTATTCATTAAAAGAAAAATTAATCTATTAGAGAAAATAAAAATAAAATTTTGATAACCCCAATTTTTATTTACATTATTCTCCTAGGGTTGGGAGAAGCTCGACCTCAAGCTTACAGCTTGCAGAGGCCAATCAAATAATTTGTGATGTAGTCTCACCATGCGCCTCAATACTTTTTTCTTCAATAAACCGATTTATCAAATACTTTGTGCTTATCTCAAAGTAAAACACTGGGATCTCGAGCTCAATCGTGATTTTTTTTCTTTTTCAAGTTCTTCGTAAAACTTGAGAAGATTGAGTTGAATACCAAAATCATGTAGATGCTCCTCAGATCTTGATTCTTGCATCACAATACGATCGTCACATTTAGAATCGGTACCCCTAGGAAGTCGTGGGCCTCAATTCATCGATACAACGAAATCTAGTGTCGGATCTTCATGGTTGCGAGCACCCTCTTTTTGAATAATAAGATTCTCCAACTGCTGTAGATGTTGATTCATTTCACGAACTTCGGTTTGAACATCCTCCATCATTTTGTTCAAATTTTCTAAAACTTGTCCCAGGAGATCATCTATAGCAGGATTAGCTTTCGGTGGCATTGCAATAGCAGGATCTTACTTGCTCTGATACCAACTGATGCAAGGGAGATGGAGAGAAGAAATAATTAAAATAAAAATAACAATAAAGGGTAAGAGAGTATACCCTCTCTCAAGGTCTGTATATGAATCCACCCCAAAAGATCTTTTCACAAGATCAATTATTTACTGAATCACCAATTCTCTTATCTCTTTATAATGAGGGACTTCTTCCCTTTAAATACAATTAGAAGAAAAATAAATAAATAAATAACAAAAACCCACAAAAATAATCTCTCTCTCAAACTCATGTCTCCCTTATCAAACCACCTCAAAACACATGTCTCCCTTATCAAGCCATCGCAAGTAAGTTTTATCCTAACTAAACCTAAATAACATTTATCTCTTTAAAACCAACTTAATCCTTTGCTTAATACTAAAACAAACTATATCCCCAAAACAACTCACGCACTACCCTATCCCTAAAACAACTCACATACTACCCTATTCACTAAAACAAAAGTTAATCCATTAAATAAAATTAAAAATAAAATCTTGACAACCCCAATTTTTATTTGCATCACCCCCCAACTACGGAAAGAGATATGTATTATGAACTGGATCAGGTCGAACCTGACCCCCACCCAGCATGTTTCAGGCTAAATCGAGACCCAAACGAACCTGAATTGGGTCTAGGTAAAGTAGACTTGGACCAACTTGCCAGGTTCAGTAATTGGGTCCAGAGTTCAACCCAGGTTGGGTCAACTTGCCAAGCCATACATATGGTGTTTTCTCTCAAATCAATTCGGTAAATTAATTTTTATGCTTTGATCCATAAAAAAGATGCTCTATAGATGTACTTTTTAACTTAAAATATTTTTTTTCTTGACTTAATGTGGCTAACGTGATATACTTTGAAAGTCGTTGATAGTCAGTAATTTATCTTTTCTAAGAGGAGATGTCGACTCCAACGGAGGATCCAACATGGCAGCATGGGGTGAAGCTGTCAGAGAAGGGTAAGGGTTGGGTGGAATGTGGGGAAGGAGATGGCAAGAGATATTGATGGCATAAAATATGAACTCACCCAAATTCAAGGTGATATGCAAGCTTTCCAAATGTGTTTGCAAGTTAAGCAACGTATGTTCCAAGCTATCTAGAACCAATCATTAACAAAAGGACCTTGAACAAGAAGATGGTCTAGAGCTAAAAGAGAAGCAAGACTAGGAGGCCACCAAGGAGACAATAGCAAGTTGCACCACTGGAGGAAACTGAGAAAGGCCAAGATGATATGGAAGTGAAGGGAAACGCCAAGCAGTGGTCGACAGATCCAAGGTGGCACTGAGCATGAGGATGGACAACCCTTGACGATTTTAGGTAGGGGCTACCACGTCCAAAATCACATGGATGTTTGGGAAGGATCTCTTTCCTAACACCGAGGGTGCTAATGTACCCCTACCTACACATTGCTCCTATTGGTTGTAGAGGTTAGACCATTGTATTTTTATATTGGACTTCTTTTTTAATTCTTGTGTATCGATGAAACTGTCAACCTACAGTGCATGTGGCTGTTGCATATAATTAATTTAACTTTACTCTTTAATATGAAGTGGATATTGATGAGCTCATTTGAATAAGCACCACACAGTTCTCCCTCACTTTAGCCACAATTGTATTTTATTTAGACCCCCTATTTCCATGTCTTTTTCGAATTGGAAGACTTTGATATCCTCAAAACCCTGCTGTTCTAAATTTTACAATACTCCAAAACCTCCTAGGACTCCAATTTCAAGCAGAATCCTAACTCAAATAGGATCTATAAACTAACCAATAAACCCAATCGAATATGAACCCAATTATAACTCCTAACTTAACCCTAATTCACTTCTTCTGTCGCCATACAATTAGTCAAGTTGCTATTACTTGTGTAGGGTTACATTGGTCAAACATCAACTTTTGTCCTCTTTCAGCCCAGAGTTGAATGAGGCTGAAGTTATTGAACGAGAACAAAGTTACAAATAAAAAAACATTATACAAAACATGGACATGGATTCTCAACCTGAGCACAACCTATCTACAATTCTAGGCACAACAGTTCTATATAACCTTTTTCTCTTTTTTTTCCTTTTTTTTTTTAATGGTAACAACTTCTGTTTAGTCTCTTTCTACAACAAATAAAGTAATGTTTAGTAGAGCAGCCATCAGAAAAGCCCATCAGATACATCTAGTTAAATTAAATGAACAAAAAACAGTGATCCTTAGGATTGTTCAAATTTAAAAAAAAAACATCCGAACTATAAAAGATTCTAACAAGCGTACAAAGTGAAAGCAAAAAAAACCTTATATATTTGCGACAATCTATGAAAAGCTTGCCTTCCTTCTTTCGAATCCCCAATATAACCTTCCAGCCATCAGGCAACCCATCCCCAAAATCACTAGCGTCCACCATCTTCCTCTTCTTCCTCTTAGTCACCCACTCCCCACCCAAACCATCTAAGAATTCAACCAATTCTAATTCATTCTCCAAAGCTGCAGTTCTCTTCTTCAAATGTGGCACGAACAACTCTCGACTAGCCAATGCGTGAACCTCAACAAAACCATTTTGCAACATCTTTTCTTTGTTATCACCATTTCGAACATTTCCATGGCACCCAATTCCCGTCTGATTGAAATCAGAGGAACCATTGTTATCAATGGCCCCTCTATCGCCATTTTCTAAGACAGCCAAGCTCATCAAGCCCTTCCTTCGAGCATCTTCCTTCTTTGAAACTCTTCTCTTCTGCCTAATCACGGCCTCCCCGACAACCCTATCACCAAGCTCAAAAGGCCTAATTGCATTACCAGCAGCACAATGCGAACCACCTTCATTGATCGGCTGATCACAAACTTTAGATTGTCCTTCAACCACGCCATGCTTGCCACTGGATGAAACCCTAGAATCAGCAGACCCCAATTCAACCCCACTCCCAACACCCCCCAGAGCCCTAGAATTCGCTCCTTCCGAAACCCCAGCATTGGGTTGACCCAAAACCCTAGCAATAGACTCACCCCAAACCCTAGCATTCCCCAAATGCACATTGTTGGTTACTCTAGCATTTGCAACACTAGGCTCTGATGAAGCCCTAAGCGTAGTATCCTGACCTGCAAATAACTCACGTAGGAGCTGAACAATTCGTTCATTATCGGGGTCCTTTGGAAATGGAGCAGGAGGTTTGGGAGAGGTGGGAGAAGGTCTAGAGATAGAGAGAAGACCAGCCCTTCGACGAGTAGTGAGAGAAGTCGGAGAAGAGGAGTTGGTACCGTGAGAAAGCAGCTCCTGATGTTGTTGTTGTTTCTTGTGAGAGAGCCTAAGGCGAGAGTAGGTTTGTTTTCGAGAGCCTTGGCTCTCGTTGAAAATGGAGCGATCAATCTTCGGGACTACAATGTCAGTGAGGGGGGGATTGGAGGAGGGTAGAGAGAGAAGGGCGAGGGAGGAGATCTCATCTTGAGAGAGAAAGCGGAGGTCGATGAGAGGGATGGAGGAGATGGGGAGGTGGGGGTTGTCTGGTTTTTCATCAGATGGGAGGGCCATTAGAGAAGAGGGAGGAGGAGTGAAAGAATGATCCCTTCTGGTGCGTGGAAAGTGAAATGCAGGCAGAGTGAGAGAGGGGTAAATTATTGGAGAAAGAAGGGGGAGAGTGGCATGATTGTACTGGAAGGGGAGGGGAGAGAGGCGTGCGAATTTATCAGGAAGAAAGACAGAGAAGCGGGATTTCTCTTCTTTACGATTTTTATGGAGGGAGATTTATTCGCATCTCGCGAAAACGAGCATGAGGTCCTTCACATGGGCTTGCTCGGGCTGGTGAAGTGCTGGGCTAGGGCCAGGCAACCATTCCAAAGGGTAGGTTGAGTAGGCCTCGGTTATGATTCGCTTCGCTAGGAATTTTTTTATTTTTCCTTTATTTTTTTTGTTTTATTTGACCAACTCAATGCCGGGGCGGCCTTGCGCCAGCCGTAGGAGGACTAGTACTAAGTTAGGGCTAGGGCGAACCATACTAGGCTTGACTCGGCCCGACTCATTGCCAACCCTTAAATCACACCCATATAAAAAAAAGCTCCTTGCCCCTTCCCTTTTGGCCATGCACGTCCCGGATTGCTAGGGTCGGCACTGGCTTGGATCAGGGCGAAGGGGTGTTGGCTCAAGCCTGACCCTAGCCTAGTATATTTCGTGCCCAGTATATCCAAAAAAGGAAAAATAGAAAAAAATGATGGCACCCAAGCATGTTTGTTATGTCCATAACCCAAGCCCAACCTGGACTAGACTAGGCCTCAAGTCATGTGTGCATGCCTCCTAGTCATATTTTATGGCCTAATCCTTAGTTTGCCATGTTTGATCTTACCAAACTAAATGCAGTTAGCCATGCTAGACCTAAGAAAAAAGTCATTCTCTTTTTTCGTGGAAAGCTTACTATATGTCCCCACTTATATATCTTTTACCTATATCCCTCATCTCCAAACGGTCCGATCTGAATGGATCATGTCAATATGATTCTTTGCGAACATGGACAGATTTTCCTTCAGTGGTGTTGGATACTGTCGATGTGAAGTTATGTACATCAAGGACATCTTGTTTGATTGTGGGGTCCCTCTTTCCTCCATCTAATGATCTTTTTGGCTTGGGAAACTAGGCCAAATGTGCATGAGATCTCTCATGTGAGCCAAATGTTAAGTGGCTTGGGAATGATTGTTTCATTTTTTGGTAGCGCTTTAATATCGAGGTCAATAAGGTATTTGTGAGCAAACATTTGAGGGTGAGTTAACCTTGGATAATTGGAGAAGTAATTCCCATGTCTCTTTGGTACCAAAATATGCCTTTTGGGTTAGACTGTGGAGGATTCCTCTTCATGCATGGAATTTGGGTACATTTCAAAGATTGGCAAAATCTTTGTGGTAATTTCTTGAGAATTGATTGGGAATCTCTAAAGGGGTATGATCTTTCTTATGTTAGAGTGAGGGTAAATAGAAATTCATTGGCACCATTACCAAGTAAGTCCAAGAAATTCCTTGGCACTATTACTGAGAAAGATTAGATTTATTGTCAATATGAAATATTTTATTACTGATGTTTATGTGAAAGGTGTTAAGGAACCTTTGATTATTGAGAAGAAGTGTGCGAGTGATGTGATTTAGAATTAGGAATTCAACGTAATGAAGAATGAATAGGTTGAAGTGTATACAGAAAAGAAGAATACAGCTCACCAACTAGTAGTAGAGCCCCAACTCCTTGCAGTCGATAGCTCATTTTGTTTCTCCGAACAGGGAGGTGGGATAAAATCAGGGTTTGCGCTTGACTTGTCCAGCTCGAGAACAGCGATGGAACGAGAAATTCAATTGCCCATCCACCATACCATATAAGTAAGAACTTCACTCCCACTCATATATGCAAAGCTTGAATTCTGTTCCTGGAGTAGAAGTAGTTTCATGGGTGTGCTTCACCACATGCCCCTAGTCTTCTCGCTCTTGTCGGAACTAGCAATCCAATTGATCAAGCCCACTGGTAAATTTATTCGGCTTTTCCAGGTCTACGAGTAGATTCAGTTGTTTTGGGTTTTGACGAGTGCAGAGCGAATACTGATTGATGTATATCGCTTACTCTCTCAACACAGAAATTTAAATTAGAGGAAAAAAAGATTGAATGTTCTTGTTACATATAAAATATTCTAATAAACTCATTCTAATTCTAGTATAGGAGTAGGAGTCTTGCATATTTATATATCTCCCGAGGTATCAAAACCCTTTCTTAGTATGAATACCCTAACCAAATCCACCCACATTGGGATTACTCGTTATTAATTGATCAAGTTTGATAGAATTGGATAACATAAACCCAAAGGATTTCTCCTTAGGGTAGGATGCAAGGGAAGAGCTCAGCAATGGCGACCAAAGGGAAAACCCATATTTCAAGGAGTTAATAGGACACATGGATTAACAAGATGCGATAAACCTTATTTCTCAGTCCTTTCATATTTGAATTTAAAAATTAAAGAGGTGGGTGCCTATTAATAAGGAAGAAATTCCAAAAATTCTTACAAGCCAATCCGAGACCGTTGCCTATTGTGATAATTTGAAAGAGCCGATACAGGACTTAGAAGGTAATTCTAGTTTTCATAAGGGGAAAGTTAGTCTTCTAAGGAAAAATGTAAGTCAATCTATTAGAATATGTGAATACGTGACTTTTGGGAAAGTACAATCCTTGAAGATTATAGGTGGTGGGAAAGGACACCTCCTTGGGGATGGCAATGATGGACATAGATGCGGTATTAGGGATAACGTATGTGATAAGCTATTTAAGGACGGTTTGTCTTCAACATGCTCTTTAGAAAAAACAAACGAAAAAGTCACGTGGAATGCATAGAAACCTACTGTTAAGGTGTAAAATGCCATAAAATATTTGTCGTTAAGGAAGGTTGCACATAAGAAGAAGGTGGTAAATGAACCTCGAGGTCCTCTTGAAGAACATGGGCTTCATATTGTTGTCGTTAATAACAATGGTGGGGAACATGAAGTAATTTTTCCGCATCCGGAGTCAGTTACTATTTATTTTGAGGATCAATTAGATACTTGATCAGACGAAAAAAGTTGATTTCATTCCACCTTTGAATGTGATGCTGCTAGTTGATGATCAGAGGTCGGAGAAACCAAAAGAACTTATGCAGGGTAGCAAGGTAACAAATGCTGATAAGAATTACTTGGAGATGTTCAATATTATAGGTGTCAATTTTGATGCTTATGAAAATGAAGTTTTGCGGGCATTGAAAGAACTTGTGGAGTCTCCGGCTATGAAGGAGAAGATGGCAATCAAGGATGGCCCTGGGGAGAATATGTCTACTCTGAATCAAGAAGAGCTAAAAGTAAGGGAAAATTGTTGCAAGGCCTACCTGTTCATCGCTTCGCCTTGTGGCTAGAGAGGAAGATAACGATATCACTTTTTGAAGCATAGAGGAAGTGATTGATGTGGAGGAAGATACTAGTTCTGATCCTGCTAGTGTTGTTCCTACTACCAGAATCGAAGAAACATCAAAACCAAATGAAAGTTCTTAGTTGGAATGTCTATAGCCTGGGGAGCGAGTATCATAAGTAAGAAGTTTTGTTTTTGGTTTGAAAATATAAACTGGAAATTTTGCTTCTATAAGAAACCAAGCTCCTAAGTCCATCAATTAGGTATTTTTATGATATTTGGGGCAAAGGTCCTACTGGTTTTGTGGGTGTTGATGCAGTAGGGTTTTCTAATAGTCTGTGGGTAATATGGGGTTCATTTGTTTTGTTTGTGTGGATGCTATTTTAGAAGGACCTTTTCCTTCTTTCAAGTGGATAATATTTAATGTATATGATCCAAATCTGTCGTCTAAGAAAGCTTCTTTTTTACAAGATATTGCGGACATTATTGCCAATTATAATTTTCCTTACTGTATTGGTGGGGATTTCAATTTCATAAGCTGGCTGGATGAGACGTCTAATATGATAATATTTAACGATTTCATTCTTAATCATGATTTACTTAACATACTAATTAATAGAACCAATTTCACTTGAACGAATAACAGTATACATAACTTGATTATGAGCAAGTTAGATCAGTTCTTAGTATCCAATGCCTGGGAGACCCACTTTCATTTGGCAAACGTAAATTCTGTGGGGGAGATTCTCATTAAATCATACTACTATCATGCTACAAATAGACAATGTTAGAGTATTGGAGGTTGTATGGTTCGAAGAGAGGGGTGGTATTGACATTATTAGAAATGCTTGGAGTAATACTGTTGTTCTTGGATGGGCATGTTATATTGTTTAAAAAATTGATGGTTGTCAAACTCAAACGGTTGCAGTAGAAGAAGGAAACCAATTAGAGCATCAAAACTGGAATGGAGGAACAATGTCAAGAATTTAGGACATTAACGACCTTGTTAATGCTAATGGTCAGCTCATAGCAAAACATGATGAGAGAAAGAGCTGAATTGATTAATTCCTTACATTATTTGATGAAAATAGAGGAAATGTATTGGAAAGAAAGATCTAGAGCTAAATGCCTTAAAGAGGGTGATTTGAATACAAAATTTTTTCAGATTTCAAGGTGTTAGTGAGGAGGATCATGAAATTTGGGAGGTGGAGTTTGTTAACCATTTTAGAAGGTTTTTTCAACTGAAATTCGCTTCTAGGTACATTTTGAGGATGTGCCTTTTAAAAGGCTTCCTCAAGCAATCGCTAGGGACTTGGGAAAGTTGGTGGATACGGAGGAGCTTGAATAAACAGTTTTTGCATTGCTAGGTGATAAGGGTTCATGGCTGAATGTGTTTTCCTTTAGCCTTCTATAGATTATGGCTTTTGTTGAATGATAAGTTATTGATGGTTAATGAATTTTTGGAGAGGGGAGTTTTGAATAAAGGTATTAATTCAACTTCCTTGCTTTAATCCCCAAGAAATCCACAATTGTTAGGATAAATGATGTGAGATCGATAAGCTTTTTGACAAGCTTATATAAAATCATTTTTTAAAGTGTTGGCAAAGATATTGAAAAGGCTTTACGTCTTCTCATTTTTGGGACGTAATCTGTATTTATTGGTAGAATAATGATTATGGATGGCGCTTGATTGCTCAAGAATGTATCCACACTAGTGTTCAAAGTGGGGAACTGGGTATCATTATCAAACTTGATATGGAAAAGGCGTATGATCGCGTGGAATGAAAGGTTTTAGATGAGGTCCTTCTACGTATGGGTTTTGGTGTTATT